CACTGCTCTCTAATAGGTCATTCCTCAATATTTAGTAATAGTTAAGGCAATTCAGAAGTTGTATAAAGGCATTTCCAAACTACAATCTGTCAAGAATATCAGGAAATCTGCAGTGCTCTCTTTGCTCTGTGTTAAGGCTAAGTTAAGCTGCAGACCTCTAGTCACTGTGCACCCTTTCCCCTTGAATTAGGACTAATGCAGAGGAGATCACTGTGAAGCAGTGCTTTGGATCTTTAAAGGTATTTCATCAAACCTAAAACAAATGCAAACTTATAAAGCCTCATTTGTAACAGAGGATTTCCTTTTGAGTTTCTATAAATAGTGTCTGATGCTGCAGGTCCCGTGGGCATCCTGTAGACTTTCCTAGGGATGTCATTCTTAAATGACCACACTGTAACCGGTACTTAGTATGGTCCCTAGGGGTGGTGAAAGTTTAATAGAACTGTTAGTCAATGAATGTCTATGGAATACTAAATTGTGCCTGCTGAATCCCCTACGTGGTTCTAGGCTTCTTCCAAATGTCTGTGTTTCAAAACAGTTGCTCCATGGGGAAAGGGCTCTTATGACCTTTTTTCTTTCTTTAGATTTTTACAAAGGTCAGGAGAAACTTGATGAAAATTTTATGTGGTTTAAAAAGCTGATCTTATTAAACTTTAATAAGAAGGTGGCGACAGCTAGCAGCTTATTTTTAAAGAGCTTTGAGAGCTTTCACAGAGAAGGCTGTACTGTTAATGATGAAATAACTTGGTTTAGGCTATGATCTTTCATTTAAGTTATGTCGAGGCACATGTTAAAAACAAAAAAAACAACCCACCAAAATATTTTTTAAAAAAGCAAACATAAAAAACATGCTGTGTTTTGTAGATAGTGCAAGTAGGAACTGGTATTTCACATCATTCACATTTGCCAGAGATATGAAACTCTTTTCCATGTGACGGTTCTGGGTTTTAAAAGCGAGCATATGCTGTATATCTATGTCCTAACTTACCAAATTAGCAAATCCTGTGCATTTCCAATGTTAACATTAAAAAGTATGTGTTAAAATTAGAAAATGGAAGAAATTTGTTGTTTAGCAAATGTACTTACATAAGAGAACATGTGTACATTTTAGAAGACTTCTGCTGATACACGCTTCCAATAGGAGAATAATCTTCTTTAAAATTTCTTGTACCACATATAGAGTCATATGCAGTACTACTAAATATAAATACTACCCACAATTACTTAGTTGATAGTGTTGTGCATTTCAGTTAAATGCCTTTTCAGCCTTGTTCCTCTCTTAGTAATCACACTTTTGGTTGTGCAAGGATTGTCTGCTCCAGCAGTACGCTGCTGTGTTTGGCGTCATTAAGTACTCCGGACAATGTGCTTGTTCCAGGACATGCAACTTAGATTTAAGTTGACCCGTTTCTCCCATGTTGAAGTTATGATGAGATTTCTGACTTTAAGCAGTATATAGTATCGCCATCCCAGATCTGTTTCTGATGGTGCATTTCCTACATGGGGATTCTTCAGTAGAATGTCAGTTTTTTTAAAATCCACGCTCTAAAAGAATATAAATAAGAGCTGTTCTTCTGTGGAAGCCACAAAAAGAAAATGCTTATGTAATTCTAGAATAACTGTGGTGCAGTTGGTTGTGGTGGACTTCTGAGGACTTGTGTTTCTCAAATAAAACCAGCTGCTTTAGTTTCAGTTTGTATGCAAAGGAAGTGTATGATGGGGGGGGGTGCACCTTCTGAAGGATTTGATTTTCAGCTGTATAGGAGGTGAGCACATTTTGTTTCAAGCTGTATGGGAGGTTTTGATAGGTAGCTTATGTTCTCAGAAACAGCCCATCTCTTTCAAAGACAGAGTACTTAAAACAAGATGCAGCTGAAGGATGAAATACATGAACTTCCCTTTTCCAGTCAGGATAAACCAATTCTGATGTCTCGGGTTCCTGAAACGAGAAGACGTGAGCTCTGTTCCACTCGGTGCCCAGTCTCTGGATCCCATGGACCAGCTGGCACACAGCCATTCTTCTTGGCTGGGAACTGGGCATTGCAGTAGGAATCAGCACTTGATTTGGCAGAAATGGGCCCTTCCATCCACCAGTGGTGGTCTTAAAAACAGCAAAACAACAGAAAAATAGCTTGGTCTCTGCATTCAGATTGAGAACATCTTCAAACCAGTACTCATTTCAACATTATTTAAGTCTGTATTGGCTTAGTTAGATTTCATGACCCATAATTTTTTTTCTTTTTGAGATCCTCGTGGTTTCAGGTAACAGCAAAAAAGAAACTAGGTTACACGAAGAGGATCTCTTACATCTCAGAATAAGATCAGCCTGCTCAGGGGAAAAAATAGTAAGAATTCAACCTTAAGAGAACAAGGGGTATGTTACAGCACACTGAATAAAAAGCAGTATGAACAGAATATAACAGAAATAATCAGGAGGTCATATTGCCTCAGCTTTTATCCTAAGGACTGGGTTTGATTAGCTTTTGTCACACAAATGTTGGGCTGATTCTGTGGACTTTCATGTGGTACATGAGGCTTATGCCCATGCCCTTATTCCCATGCTTACTGAGTGTATTTGTGGGCTTACCTGTTGGAATTTTTTTCTTCCTGACAAATTTCTAACTGTTGGACTTGCTGTGTATGCTTTTTGTCTTCAGTACTGGCCTGCTGCCATAGTGTGTATTGCAATGTTAGTATTGAGCCCAAGTAAAGGACAGTAATGAAACTTGATTATCAGGGTTCATTTGGGTCCTTTTCTTTGTCACTTTAATAGCGTCGTCTTGGAGATGCTGCCAAGAAAGCCATCGGTAAATTGACGACCAGGACAGTAAAGAAGGGTGATAAGGTATGATAATAAGATTTCAACAGGGTTAAACTTGAGCATCATGTTTAATTTTTGCTGAGGGAAACAATCTGAGTTTTTTCCTTTCTCCTTCTGCTTTATGCTTTTGCCCTCCTTGTTAGAGGCTTTGTCCTATGGCACAGTATTTGATGTAACTTCTAGTATCAGTGTATGCTGTAAGTCTTTACATTTCAAAGATGTTTTTCTTGCTTAAATACAACGTGTGCTCCATCTGACATCTGTGCCTGAGAGTGGTTTTGTTTGCTAGCTGGCTGGGGGCTTTTGCTGGTAGGAGTCCATAGGGCTGGCATCGTTTATGTGGAGTTCTGTAAGCTTAGAATCATTCCATGTGTAAGTTGTGTGAAGTAAAAATAAATTTAATAGACCAGTAATAAAGGGCAATATCTTATGAATATCCAGTAATCCAAGGTGGAGTATAAACAGGTATTTTGTGAAAGATAATAAATGTTATGCCAAGAATATTTCTTGTCAGTATACAAACTAAAATATACGGTTAAGTCCTACACTTTTTCTACTTTTATAAGCAATACTGCTTTGTCTTTGATTCTGAAAGGAAAAAATAGTCACTTAATCTTGCTTAATTTTTGCTCTTTAATTTGCAAAAGGCAAGGGAATTCTGGCTATGATTTGATTTTTAAGAGAAGCTTATTTCCTTGGGCCTTTTTAGTGTGATTCCTTTTAATCTTTCTTATCAACACTCTCAGCATTGGAAGATGGGGACGTGATGGAAAAATTTGCTCCCGGAGAGAACGCAGAAAAAAGTGTTTTTCTGCTCTTTCTCCTTCCCTGTGTAGTTTTATTTCAAAACAGCCTACTGTACCAAATCTTTTCTGTGGGTATGGGAGTACATATAGGTAGCAGGAACTTTTCCATATTACAAGAAAAGATGCTGCTGTGTTGACAGCATAAATTCAAAAGGGACAAGTGACGTGTACCTTGTGGTACAGACAGCGTGAGATGCTGATGCAGTGAACACAGGGTAGGAAAAAGCCTGTCCTGCAGCAGAGCAGCCCATCGGGATTCTTTGCGTGCAGTTCTGACCAGGGAGTGGGCATTGCATTGCCGTGGTTCCTGTCCTGGTGTCTTGCTTGTAGATTGCTGGCACTGACAAGAATGAGTGTGGACTAAGAGAAGACACAGCCTTTTCTGTGTCATAGGCCCAAACATTTTAAATAATATTGCTGATGCCATAGCTACATCCAAATTAAATTGGCCCTTTTTTGTTAGAAATTTTATATTATCATGTTTAAAAAAAAATAAAAGAAAATAAAAAAATCATACCTTCTGGAAAACAGAATAAGAGAGGAGCCCGTCAGTGATCCTCATCCTCATGTCTGGATAAGAATGATGATAATACTGCAAGAAAACAAAAATGAGACTGCTCTGAAATAAGTACAAATTGCTAGCTCTGGCTGTAGAAGGGAATTCCGAGATTCTTATCCTGCCAAAAAACACCCTGAATAAGATAGTGTTTTAGCTCCAAGCTGAAGTAAAGCCTCTAGGAAAACCACCACTATATTTTACAGTGATTTGACTGAATATTAAGAGTCATCTTAGGCCTAAGCCTGTGTCTCAAATGATCATTTACCAGCTCCTAATGAGGGGAGAGTTTTGTGTGTACGAGATACTTGTCTTTCTCAAGTCATGTGGGAATTTAATAACCCAGTCATTGGTTTTGTATCTTCTTAGTAACAGCCACCTGGCACAGTGCAGTTCATGTACCAGTCACAACTGCTTTTATGTTTGTCATAGCCTCAACTCTTGACTTGAATTTTCATTCTGTTCATTTTAGGAGACGGACCCAGACTTTGATCATTGTGCTGTCTGCATTGAGAGTTACAAGCAGAATGATGTTGTTCGCATTTTACCATGCAAGTAAGCCAATAAAGTTGCTTTGTTTGGAAACTATTCTTTCTTTGTGGTCCTTTGCTTCATTTCTTATAATATGTAATTTACAGACACACTTGTTAAGAAGTTTCCAGTCCTAATAGCAGCCACTTTATTTTAGACTGATACCAGAAGGTGTGAAGATGGCCACTGACACTGTTATGACAGTAGGGATTAAATAAAAGATTACCATCTTGAAGATGGGAAGTTTGGGCGTATCAGCAGTGGAGCTGTTGAGATTGTAAGTGGGAGTGGGGGAGATGCAGATTTAAGGACCAAGTGGTGGGCATACACAAAAAGGTGCAATGGACCCAGTACAGCTGCAGCATTCTGCACAGTAGATGTGCAGCATTGGCTGTTGGTTTCTGAAACAGTGTAGGAAACAGAAACGGTCTTTCCCACCTTCGTACCTCCTCTGACATCAATCAGCCAGTGTGCTACTGTCTGTCTTTGGTCTCCCCAGTGCGGTGTGTTGTTGGCATGTGTCTGAAGATTTGTACTTGCTGGATATTCTGCATTGGGGCTTAAAATGTGACTACTTTTTCCTCCTTTTGTGAAATTCTCTTGACATTTACAGGTTTTCAGTTTGTTTTTGTTTTGCTTGCATTTTTGAATTGTTTTGGGATATTTGCTTTTTGAGAGATGCTTTTAAGTGCCTCCTCCACCTGGTGATTGGTTTTGATGAATCAGCGCGTTTTGGTAGCCTTAAGCATTACCAAGGACACCTTTCTCTTGTATTCTGAAATGTAAAGCTTTCTCCTTATCTCCAGACACAAAAGCCCATGTAAGTTATGTTGTGCATATGCAGCCAAGGTGCAGTAATTTGGCCTGCGCACGGTATATAAAGAGTGTTGTGCATGATACTCTAGAAGTAACAAAGTCACACAGCAGTGGCACGTAACAGCTCATTATCGGTCATTATCGGTTGTCTAAACCCTGCAGGCTGCTCTGAATAGCTGGAATATTCTTCTTCTAATGCATGGTGAATTTCTATCATTGTAAAAAGGAAAATTGTATTATTTTATATCTTGTTGATCAAGATATGTTTGCATTCTATTTATGAAGCCAGAAGCTTAATTCAGATAAGTTTTCTTTATGTTCTTTACTACTTGGACTGTGGGAAACAATGAACTGCTTGAGATTCTCAGTGTTGTTTTTTAGTTAATATACCCTACAAATATTTGTTTAGAAACTTCCATTAAAATATTTGGGGATAGAAGAGCTTGGTCTCAGATCTATTAAGATTTGGGAGCTTTTGGTAATGTGGGTATCTGTGCATTTATTTTCTAGAGTTTGGTCATTTTTACTGACAGATTGTGTCCTCTTGCCCATAAAAATGTACTCCCAAGTGTTAAATAAAGATTGCAGAGACTTATGTCCTATATTGTAATCTCAAGTAAAGCTTGCATATGTGAATTAAGCCCTAATCTTTTATTTGTTATGTAGAAGATTATTTGGAAATTAGAGGAGGAACTCCTTGGAACTGCACACCAGTTTTGGACCACTACGTTGATTTTTATCTTTTTAAATTGTCTTTTAAGAAAGCTTTACTGGTGTAGTTCAGAGTAGTACTGTGAAGCTCAAGGATGTGGAATGGAGGTTTACATGTCCACTTCTCTGTGCCGTTCTCTTTGACACTGAACAATGGTCAGAGGGAGGTCCTTGCCAACAGTAGGTGAATGAGTCTTCATCTGTGGGCAACCATCTTCTACCACTGAGGACAACACGAAAGTGGGACTAAAAGTGAACTTCCTTCGTTAAATAACTGTCACTGTCCAAGCAATGGATATGTTGCAAGTATCAGCAGATGTGATCAAACCATTTAACCAAGATGATGTAAAAGTCATCAAAGTCCATTTCCTTCAGACACCTTTGAACTGCAAACAGGAGGCTCCCTGCTCTCAGGCATAGCTACAGCTGCTTCAGGGATGCAGCGGGCTGCCATCTCAGCACAACCTCCCCCGTGCAATCTTCCATCTAACAGATATCAAGGCTCTTGTGTAGATCCCTTTTTGTTCTGTTTCTCACAAGAATGTAAGGTCAGTGAAGGCTCAGATTACATTCCTGTCAAAGGCTGTATGACAACTTTTATGTTCACTTTCTTCTCTTTTTTTAAATCTCACTTTTCATCTGCAGCAGCTCAGCTTTGAGCTGAGTTGCAAAACTGTCTTGGCTAGATAGAAACATTGAGATGAATGCTTTCCACGAGACATTTTTATATTTGTAGGTGAAGCTGTCAGCCAGTACCTCCAGAGATGAGCCCAATAAGTTTCAGATTGCGTCTAGGACTTTTCAGTCTTTGGCATCTGAGATGCTTCTCCCCAAGTCTTGTTTGGAAGGTTTAATCTCTTGCTACTTCAGACCACTGCAGGAGAGTCTCTAAGCCAGATGAGAAAATAAATTGCAATAAAACCATGGAGAAAATGGCTCAAATAAGAGGAAGCAAATGAAAGACTGGAAGTTTTTCTTACTGTGGCTGTTGAGGACACTGTAATCATTAGACAGTAGGAATCACTGACATATGACATTCTTGCTGCTTTCATCAATTTAAAACTAGCATTTCCCTCTGGTACTGCAGTTGTTCTCTGCAGTTGAGTATGGTCTGTCACTCTGTGCCTCAGCAGAGAGGAGTCTTGTTTGGGCAGACACACCACCTCAAATTCTGTAGTCAAACACGGTATTTGTGATGTAAGGTTTTGTGGCAGGTAGGAAATTTTGGGCAATTCAAAAATAAACTAAAATGAAAATTATTTCAAACAATGCATTTGAATTTCTGTCATTCATTTTGTGCTTCAGAGAGAAATGTGTTCAGTAGCAGCAGCCTGTGGATTTACCTATAGCTTTTAGTGCACAGAGGGATAAGGCAGCCATCTGTCTTGGGCTTACTAGCCTGAGGAATGTCTCTGTCTTTTGTAAATATCATTATGCAAGTTAAAAATAAGTAGTGTAAGCAAATGTCAAAAGGATTCTAGCAAAAGACAAACCGCATGGCCAATTTGCTTTATTCAGATAGTTTTACTTTACCATCACAGCACTGTGTGTAGGAGATGAATGGGCACTGAGTGAAAAGTGATCAGGAGGGGGTAGTGTGAAGGACTGGTGAGAGATAAGGGAAGGGGAGAGCCAAGTGACGGGTTAGAGAAAAGCAGAGTGACATTGGAAAGGGCAGAAAGATGGCCTTGGAAGGAATCTACAAGGTAGGAAGAGAATTAAAGGAAGAGTGAATATGTTAAAATAAATGGCCTTGGAGCCTAATTCTTAATTCCTGTACTGGGCAATAAGGGGGAAAGTGACAAAAGCAACTAAGCCAGATTTCAATCTGTTTTTGTGCTGCTGCAAATAGCTTTTTTATAATTATTATTATTGTTTGTTTTGTTTTGTTTTAAAGAGCAAATTAACACAGTATTTCAATGCAATCCTCTCCACTTACTGCAGTGCCTCTGCACCACCCTCATTTTCTCTGCTACCTCCTTACGATGGCAGTCTCTCTTTTCCCCTAGCAATCCTGTGCATTTGTGGAAAGCACTGGGGCTGCTCTCCCCGGCATTGCCAGACGTGGCACCTTCCTCTGCACCACAGCAGGCCAGACATCTCTCCCGAGCTGTGCTAGCTGTAAGGGCCTGGCTGGGAAGTTTGAACCCCTGGGCGAGGGGAGCAGCTGCCTTCAGCAGTATCCAAAGACACTACTTTTCAGCAGCATGGTGATCAGGTCCCTTTGGTGGGATGCTGCACTGAGAGCAGGAAAGTGTAGTGAGCCCTTGTAAACCTGTTCAAACCCTTCTCCTTGTGCAACGTGTGAATTTTGAGGCATTATGCCACTGAAAGAGATTTCTAACTCACTTTTTCTCTATGAAATGCTGCAAAGAAGCTGTGTTGTGCAACAGAGTTGGCCTTACGGTGTTTATTACAAGCTGGAGGTCAGCTGGCTTGGGTATGCTGACGGAGTGGAAAAATACCTGCAGGTCACCTGTTTGGAGCTGTGCCCACATGGGAGACTCCTTCAGTGCCACCAGCCTGGCTGCTGGCCGTGCCTCTGCCAGCCCCAAGGCTGGGGAAGCAGCAAAAGCTGTGTCACACTCGACTCCCCGGTGTGTGGTTCCTGGGGGAACAGTGTCAGCTGCTGTGACCCAGAGCAGCTTGCTAGGAACTCTTCAGATTTATGGTCTTGGAAAACAAGCGACAGAAATACAGAGATAGAGAAGGCTTATGGTAGCAGAAAATGCAAGGGCTTACTTCGTCAGATTGAGTTTTTAAAATAATTCATGTGTTTATTATCTTTGTTGCGGCATTACTGATCTTTAACTGTTGCAAGCAGGAAAATCCAGACAGAGTCTGAGCCATAACGATGGTATCAGCAAGCTTTTTCAGTAGATAAACTGCATAAGTAGGTAGAGCTATGCTGATCTAAATCAGTAAATAACCTTTGGAGAACTGCACTTTTTAAAAAATACATTAACAAACATCCTTGAAGGTTTAGGAACTAAAAGCAAAGAATGAAGAGGTCACAAAAATAGTTGAGCTGGTTTTGTGCATTTCAATGATATCAAACTGTTAATGACTCTTAAAAATAATCCCTGATATTTAGCAGATGCATGTCAGCATCAATATCAGTCGCCTGCTTCACTTGATCTGAGTGCTTCTACAGCACTGATTAGCTGATAACGATATATTAAAGCTGTTTTCATACTTCTGTGGAGTCTCGATGTCTGCTGTTTCCTAAAATATTAGATTTTCAGGTTTGTCCTACTCTAAAAAACAGACTTCAGAGACTTGAAAGGAAATATAAGCAACTGAAAGCCATGATTTGCCTAACATAGAATAACAGTAGTAGCTCTATACGTTTCAGAAGATTGCAGATTATTTTCTGTCACACAGAATTTTAAAACATTGTTTCCTGTAGTTTTCTGAGTAATAAAGGTAATGCATTAAGACCTAGTAACAATAGAAGTGGGTCTTTATTTTGTGTAATTACACTGTACATAGCCTGTTTTTCATGATTTCCTTATTGCTAAAGGACACAGTTCAACAAAGTGACTAGCTGAGGTTCTGTAAGTTTCTATTCCTACAATATCTGGGATATAGATAAGCAAAGTCCTTTTGCTCCCAGTCCGTCTTCTGTTGACTGTATTATTCTCTGTAAGTCTATGCATCTTCAGTCAGTACAGGTAGTCAGCTACAACCATATATCCTGGAACCTAATCATGTTGATATACTTTAGTCCCTCCATCAGTTTTAGTCGCCATAGGCAATACATAATTATGTACTGTCTTTTTCCATGTTTGTTAACAAATTAATGCAGCCTTTTTTTCCAATCACTTTCCAGAAATTTAAAAGAGAATTATCTGGTAACTTGCCTCTGATTTTAAAAACCCCAAGGGATAGGGAGCAAGTAAGTCCCAGACTCTGTGAAGAGCTTACTGAGGCACAGAGCAGCAAGTATAACCTGGGAAAGGAGAGGATGGAGGGTATCTTAACTTTATGCTGCACTGGGGACACGTATGACCTCTTACAGATGGTGCTGATGCCTCAAATAGATGGCAAGAACTCCTTGTTCTGCCACTGCCCCTTCATCTGCTGGTCTCAGAGCACAGGTCTTTGCTGGCTAAGCAGCCCTTGTAGTTCCTGATCTTTCTCATGACCACCAGTCTGGTTTTTTTGGGTGTGCTGCTGTTAACTGGCTTTGTGCTCTGCAGTCAGTGCTACTGGAAATGAAAGACCTGGGTTCTTATCACAGGCAGTTATTCAGAATAGGTTGTTATGAGCATTTGCCAAACTGTATTGTGTAGTCTACTGATACCCATTTCTGCCATGAATATGCTCCGAGAAGTTCTTTGCCTTCTAAAAAGACAAGAGGACATCTCCTCTTCTTCCTTTAATAATATGTTGTTTTGGTCTCTGCAGAGTTCTTCCTTGTTATATTGGTTTATATCAATCCCAACACATTTATATTCATGTATGTGACTAAGATTTTTTGTATGCAATGTAGGTGGCAATTCAGACTGTTCTATATTGCAGAGTTCCCTCTGTGCAAGTAGAAGCCTGGTTTGCCTTTCCATCTTTGAAAGAATCTTCTTTTTTTTATGACCGTCATACGATGATGGACATGTTTTCCTTCCTGATAGCAAGAAGTACTGATAGTAGGAAAAACCTTCTTTTTGCTTAGATGTGATAATTATAAAAGTCCTTTCAAAATCAAACAAGTGTGTTTGGGTTGGCTGCACTGATTTTTGAATAAAATTGCCTGCTGGTAGATCTGTGATCTTCCTACATAATTTATGTTCAGGTTCTACATAGGAACTGAGATGAGACTTTACACAAGATTATGGGGGGGGGACTTTGTTACCATTGTTATTCTGACCATATGCATACTCATATCCACAATAAAACATGAAAAAAATGTTTCAAAATGTTCTTTTTAAGTGTTTCTTCCTAGTTGAACTATTAGTGAATTGTGGCAACAAGAAGCAAGAGGTTTTTATTTTTTCTTACTGCAGTCAGCACAGAATACCGGGCAATTCTGGACTCTGTTCTGCTGGCCTAATTAAAAAGAAACTGTCTAAAAGTTTGGTAAAGTAGTTCTCATTGTATAAAATAGAATTGTTTCCAAATTACATACATGCCTTGTCTGTTCTTCTAGGCATGTTTTCCACAAAGCCTGCGTGGATCCATGGCTTAGCGAGCACTGTACGTGTCCAATGTGTAAACTGAACATTTTGAAGGCACTGGGAATTGTGGTAAGTTGTACTGTTGTGAGCTCCTCTTCTCCCCTGCCCCCATGACTGAGACCCAGAACAGGAGGAATAATTGTAGGGGAGAAAGGGAGAAGGGTGTTCCAGTATCTTTCCTCAGAAAACTTTTGGGGTTTTTTATTCTTATTATTTTATATTTTTTATAATTTTTAAATTTCTTTGCTGCTGCTAAAGCTGATTTGTTGTTGTTCCTTTCCCTGGTTGAACATTGAGAATATATTGTTATATTTGAGAATACATTGAGAATATATTGTTAACAATTTCTTCTTTACTGGAAGTCTACTAGGTTCTCTATAATAGTCCTTTTTCTCAACTTCTTTCAACCCTTCTCTGTTAAATTTGCTCTGTAAATCTCTTGTTCTTGTTGTGGTCTCCTGTGGACACTCTTATATTTGTTTACACATTAAAAGCCATGCCCTAGCCAAGGCCAGCGAGCTTTCCTCAAGAAGCTCATGGCTTATGTTGACCTGTTCACAAAGGGATAGAAGTGAAGAACCTCAGAGATTATTTTACCATCTTTCCCATATGAGGGAAGAATTATAAGGTAGAACGGATACTCTTTTCAGAAGAAAGAAAGAAGGAAGAGAGAGGAGAGCATATGAAGATACTGTCTAAAGCTGCTTTTTAATCAAGCCAGTAAGAATAATCCTCCATTTTTAGCTGTGTCAGTTGCAAACTTGCACATTTTCTAAGAAATAGTTGCAGATATGCTGTAGATGACCTACTTTTGCAATTAATATCGTATGTGGATTTTTAGGGGAGGATACTGTAGAATTCCATGCACGTCATCATTGCTCATGGTAGTAAACCGTACAGGCATAGCCTATGATACAAACATATTTGTGTCCTTTTTTTTGAATCTTAATCCCATTTTCTGCTTCTTTCTCTACCTCTTTAAAATGGATGGAATGAGCAACTTTGGCTAGAGCTTGCTAATTCATGTTTCTCTCCTGTGAGGACAGCCATAGCAGCTGAACTCTGTGTGTGTGTGTATGGTTTTAGTCAATGTATACATTTGCTACACGTAAAATATTCACGGCTGTAATGTGGAATCACTTGTTTTTCCAGCCAAATGTGCCATGTACAGATAACGTAGCCTTTGACATGGAAAGGCTCACCAGAGGCCAGCCAGCCAGCAGGAGATCAGCGCTTGGTGACTTTGCCAATGACAGCTCCCTCAGCTTGGAGCCCCTGCGCACCTCGGGGATGTCTCAGCTTCCACAGGACGGAGAGCTGACGCCAAGGTCAGGGGAGATCAACATTGCTGTCACAAGTAAGTTTTCTTTGGCTTCCAGTACCGTTCTATGGTTTTCCTGGTATGTGGCACTTGCTTTGCTGTAGCTCTGTGCTGCAGGATGAGGGTGAAAGATTTCCCTGCAGGGACAAAGGTGACCTCAGTGTCTCTGTAAGAGGCGTATGCTCCGTGTTGAAACCGATTACTGTAGGTACAGCGGTGCCAACACTTTCATTGTTAACGGTATATCCATTTAAATCTGTGTGCAAAGAACACTGGATGAACTAAAATGGCAACAAAATAACCCTCCTGAATTTGGTAACCAGTACAAGAAACTGAATTGCCAAAACTATTATTTACCATTTCAGAATACATTACATACAGTAATTTATACAAATATCAATATTTTAGCTGATTACTATTTCTGCAGGCATTTTTTCCCCTGGGAACATTACAAGTGGAATTCTGATGTCTCTTAGCAGATGTTTTTGTTCCAAAATTTGTGAATTAAAAAGAAGTATTTGATGTACCAACATTTGAGTGTTGTCCAAGTGTTTTATGACATCAGAAAACTGTTTCTGCCCGGCTTGCAAGCTCTTCTCCATAAGAGCATAGGAAATTTCCATTCACTGGATTTTACCTAGAGTTTTTGATGTGTAATAGCACTATAATGAATACAATGTATGGAATTGCATCATTTTTCTATATGCTGTACAATCTCGATTTGATGCATGAATGGTTTTCCTGGCTGAATTGCAAAAAAAATAATCCATGCAGTACAACAATCTAATTTGCTCCTTTATCTTGCTTATGTGCATCTATGATCTAGATTTTATCTTAGTGACACTGTTTGCCACTATACATGTGTCTGTAACTGATACATCCATTAGAGCATTTCTTTAGAAGCTGTAGCAGAGTAAATGTCTCATTAAAAAAATGTCATCTTATGAAACACATAGTCCATATCCAGAAATGTCCTGACAGGAGAAGGAAAAAATCCACATACAAAATCTAGATTCCTTACAAAGGCAGTAAGTCACTTTGTCATGCAGTGTGCAACATCTGACTCGTCTTGTATTCAGCTCTGCTGAACAGAGCAGATCTGTTGGTGAGCTGCTCCTCTTGTCATGGGTGGGAAAACTCTGCAGTTGAACTGAAACTTTTCACTACTTGGTTTTACAGACAGTATTTTTACTGTCTGTTCCCAACTGTAGTACTGCTCTTGCACAGATGGGATGCCAGGGTAAAACAAGAAATAGTCAGCAGCAGTTCATTTTGACAATGTTTATAAAATAAAACTTTAGAAAAGGCTGTGCAAATGTTTGGATTTTATGGATGACACATGCATTCTTTGATGCACGAGAGTTAAACCAAAAGCCATATTCAACAAAAGTGTTTGTATTCCAGTCTACTACTATGTGCCAAATTGATCCTTGAGGAGGGACAACTTTGAATAGTGAACATTCTTTAATAGCTTTCTTTCTACTACTTTTTTTTAATATGTCTGTATGTATACACTAATGTTGCAATTATTTTTCTATGTTATATTCCTGTCTTAAATTGAAAACTCTAGTTTTGTTTTACTGTTGAACAAGCTATCCTATTTTGGGGGATTTTTTTTTTTTAAAGTAACACTATAGCATTTATGCAGGAGGGAGGGGGCAAAACCACAAATTAAGTGTGAAGGTTTACTGGATATGCTTATGTGAAGAGCTGCATCTCAGCAAATCTAAAATAACCCTGACAACCTTATCTGACTTGGGGGCAGACAGAGTTTTCATTACGTTTCCCTTGATCCTGCATTTCACTTTGCATTGTTAAGTAATCTTTCTGTATCACTAACCCTTGGGCTCAGCCAGGAGATACTGTTGTGCCATGCTGTTTTTTCCACACCTCTCTCCACTTCTTCTTTGCTAGCCTTCTCCAGTCAGTAACTCTGTGGCTAACCTCCTTCTGCTTCACCTCCTGGTGCCAGTCATGGCTTAGAAGCCTCTTGCCTTCCGCCAGTGGTGTTTGAGGGAAATATTGGCATCGCTTTGACATAAGCCTTCTCCCACGAGTGATTTCCTCCCTTTCCTTTGTCAACAGAAGAATGGTTTATTATTGCCAGTTTTGGCCTCCTCAGTGCCCTTACACTCTGCTACATGATCATCAAAGCCACAGCTAGCTTGAATGCTAATGAGTAAGTAAATATTCCGATGTTTCTATACATTTTTGATGGGTGTGTGTCATGAACAGCATTGGGAACAAATATCAAAAGAATAGAGAAGGGATAAAATGCAATTTTCAAAGTATCAAATGCCTTCTCTGCTTTTCTCAAATGTGTGTGTCTCAAAAGTAGATTCCAGAGTAACATCTAAAGTCCCTCTTGATTTATATTTAGCTGGATTGTGTGAGGAAACCTCCTTGCCAAGTGGAGACATAGAAGGTGGAAAAGAGAGAATATTTATATTCAGTTTTTGATCAATGGTCTAGGTAAATAATCATTAGATTTCTGCCATTAAGTCCCCACATTCAAAATTTGCCTGGCAGAGCCAGAAGTTACTACCATTGGTTACCTTTGACAGTTTTCACCTCAATTTGTGAGTCAAAGTTCATATTAAAAAAAAAAATCTGTATTCCTGGTTGGCACACTTTCAGCTAAGAAAAAGGGTATTTAAATAAAAAAGTACCTTTTTGCTTTTAGGGCAGGGAGAGATGAAAACAATGAATACACTACTGTTTCTTCTCTCAAGTCAAGAGAGCAGAGCAGTCTTCCAACTTTTCATTTTAGCATGCCTGAGTATTGCAGTCAAAGGAGTGCTTAAAGACATCCCTGCTTTCTTAATTTGTATAGACACCCTCAATGCTTCCCTTCAGACAGGGTGGACCAGAAATTACTCTAGTGCACATGACTCTCAATCTTTTGTAATAGTTCTGTGTGTGGACAAGTATAAGTCTGTTCTGCAAATACACTGAAAACGTACATGAAGCTGTTTTCATTTTAGGTGTATGGAACATCTGGGCTCATAAAATATATTTAATCATAATTGATGTATTTGGGGATGGAAAGTGTCAACGTCTGTCTTTGTCTCTGAACATCTTGACACAGCTAAGTTTCCATTAAATGTGTTGATCTCTTACCAAAAGTGGGGTGAGATTTAAAGGCAGTCTCCTCTCCAGCCTGGAAACATAGCTTTGTAATGATAACTTCCTTTTTCTCTTGTTTTGAGATAAGAGAAAGAAGTGCTTTTTTTGACTTTTATTGTTCTCTGGAGAGTATAAGGTGTCCTCCTCAATAAGATGGAAACATGTCTAATAGTCTCCAGTGTAACATTTTAGACAGTCTCGAGCTAATCTTCTGCAGGAGGAGCCATAGTAAGTTCTTAGAGATTTCGGTCATCAGGAACCTTTGATTACCACTAATTTACAGATCTTCCTTTCCTCCTCCTTTCAGATGGTAATTCAAAAGGGCTTAATGAAGAAAAGTTTTAGAACTTCAAGTGGTCCTATCAAGTCCCCCAATTATTCCCTTTTTTATTTTTTTTTAACACACATTCCCCCCCATTTGTCAAAATCTTGAAATTGCAACTATTGATCAGCAACTTGGTAAAATAGCTGTACCTGAACATAGTTAATCTGCCCTGAAAAATAGCTTGGGGAAGCATGGAGCAAGATGAGTTGTGAAACAGAAATGTCTGCGGACAGCGGCACAGTAGCCCATGTAGCATCGTCCAGATGTGGGTACTGATAGCATTTGCACTTCTGCCTTGCCCTGCAACTCCTCTTTTTGTTATCTTTTATTCATTCAGATCTGGGTCTGTTTTTACTGAAAGGGCAAGATTCCTCACATGGGCAGGGAGTTAGGGCGTCCAGAGAGGTGTTTTCACAGTGAGGTTCCCTTAGTACAGACAAAGGCTGTGCTGATGTAAGGAGAACTCCTTTCCCCAGTGATAGGAATGAAAATGCAAGCATATACCAGTGAATGCTTTGAGGCAGACTTGAGAAAACTAGCAGCCACAGAAACCAGAGCTGTCAAAAATCACTTACGTGGTAGCTGAGGTACCTAACCGTAGCCTTTAACCTCAAGAGCTTTTTTACTGAATCCCTTGGGATCTAAGCAGCCTCCTCAAGTGCTGCTAGGTTTAACTACTCGTTTTAGACAGTTTGAAATGTGTATGTGTAATGCTAATTCTTAGATTTATTGTTTCATTGACACTTTATGTTCCCCAGTGCCAGACAAAGCTTTTCCTGTGCTGAATACCATGGCAGATACACAGCAGCTCTCTCTCACTGCGATTTACATTAAATGTCATAACAGCATACCTGCTCTTTATGCTGTTTTATGCTAGTGTACCCTACACCTGTTATGGTGGTATTTCAAGAGGAAGCTGAGGGTTTTTTCTTATCAGAAAACAGCAGTAGCAAGAATAAGGCCACATACTATGCTGATACAAGTAAAAGGTGCCAAATATTCTACATCGAAACCACCTAAAAACACACCCCGATCCTTTTTTTCCTATGTCCTTTCTGCAGCTTAAACATATTTATTTAGAGCAGTAGTTCTGCAGTTGTGTGTGTACATGTGTGTATATATATGTTTGTGTGTATGTATATATCCACACACATGCATTTTTAAACAATTCTTAAACATAAACATTGTCTAAGTGATAAGAAAATAAGGAACCTGCTGCATTCTCTTGGTCTTATAATATTTATGCACTGTTGTTATTGAATTATGTAGGTAGTGATTTAAAGGAACAAATTAAGCACATTTTGCTTTGTTTCTTAGGGAATGGTCAGAAATCACTGTGTAACTGTGTTTTAAACTCCAAAAAGCCCACATGTTAGATAGCACCACTTAGTTTTCAGTAGCAGATGGAGTTTCCTCAGACGTTTAGAAGTGCTTAAACCTCTGACTGTCCTGTCTGTTTTAGTGTTCCTGTAAGGATGATGTAAGGAGTACAGATCTCTTTTAATGCTCTGGCCCTGTATTTACTAACTTACTTTTACAGGATTTTTTTTTTTAGTATTGGCAATATTAACTTTAATATAAGTATTTTGTTTCTTTTTTTTCTGCCCCACAGAGCAGAATGGTATTGAAGAAACGCTTTCCAGCCGATTGCCTTGGAGAGAGAGACACCTATTTTTGTGTATCACTTATCGATCATGCAGCACAAGCAATTATTTAGTACATTCTATTTTTTCATAAAATTTGCTGATGCCAAAGCTTTGTATTAAGAAAAAAGTGAAGAAATAAAAAAACCCACTTTAATTATTAAATCTGACTTTGTGAGAATTTTCTTTTTCTTGGACTTTCTGTGTTAGTACTGAAGTCTTGACAGCCTTTTGTAAACTTTAGAAGGTGTTTTATTTCCTTTGAATGGTTTTGCTTTGCAGATCTGTGTTCTTCTGCTTTCATTTTGGGTCACGCAAGCAAACAAGTGAAATCCCATGCAGTGCCGTTGTTGTGATGCCACCCAGCGCTGGAATGACTACCAAGACTATTCTGAGTGATCGCTCCATACCAGCTAGTTAAGGAAAAAAGCTGGGTCAAGCATTCTAGTCTATAACAGGCTTACCTTGACTCCAGCTGAGAATTAATTTGAAAAAAGAACATTTTTCTCCATTTCCCCCACTGTGTCGCACTGGGAGAATTGCAGTGTGATCTTTGTCTTCAGGTCAGGCATTGCTGAAGGTTTCCAACACTCTTTTCTTGACATAGTATAGTAATCATAAACCTTTTCCGTCCTCTGCTTTCACCCCACCCTTCTTTCTGATAAAAGTGAAGCTACTCTAAACCACTTCTTCCTTCCTAATACCAAATGAAAAGGTCGTGTTTTCCCCCACTGTCATCTGTGAAGCCTCCTTTAGTTAGTTTTTGTTCAAATTCAGGTCATGAAAGATTGATAATGGTCTTTACTGTAATGTAGAATCTCTGTGCGAACGTGTCCCTTCTTGCCATGGCTTTTTCACTGGTGAGGAGGCAGAGGGAAAACATCTCTCATCGCTGTCCTCAGCCAGGCTGTTTCACACAAGTTTACTTATGCAAGCAGTGTATGAGTAATTTCACAACAGTCAGTTAAAACATGCAGATCTGATTCGCAGCCAAATGCTAATGCTTGCGTTAATGAGATGGGTAGATGAAGGTAATAAATCGGTAAGGAAAAGATAACTGATAGAAGTCAAAATCTATTCTGCGTTTGGTTGTTTTTGTTGCTCTCGTATCAAGATGTAGACATTTGAAACTTAATGCTTTCTAATTTAATTAAATGAAAAGAACCAATTTTACTGTAAGATTTAATTTTTTATGTACTGAGAAATAGAGGATTTAATTTAATTTTATTTTTATGTATAGGCACTTTTAGAATTTAGGAACACAGCCAGAGTCTACATTAAAATAGTTTCCTAATTCTTATCTGTCTAGCACTTCAGCTGAGAAGGCAGCTTTTATAATAAGAAATGAAGTGTGGGATAGGTTCAGTACATTTAATAGAATTATTTTGCAGTGTGTCCTTGTGAAATTTTGAGAGAAACACAAAAACAATCAATAGAGCAGTAAGTGCATTTTGAAAGGCTGGAAAACCCCATTGGACTTACTCATGACAAGAAAAAATCCTCAAACATACTGTGTCTGAGGACTGTCTCCTTGTAAAACACAGAGTTTGTCAACAGAGCGTTGTTGCCAAAAAGTGGAGGAATGTGGTAGGATTTACTATGGCTACGAAACAAAAGGGTGACTTTTTTTCAGCCATCTTTCAAAAGCAATAGTAAAATTGGTAAGTTTGTGCTTGTCTCCTGAAACAAAAATCCTTACATGCTTTTTAATGCTGTCAGGAGGGATGCACAGTGACAGGCTGAACCGCGTGGTGACCCAGATGCAAAAGTCACCACAAACAGTTCCAGTTGCTGTTTCTCCTACAGAACAGCAGCAGAAGTTGAGTGATACTGAGAACGACATGGTTGACAGGGCTTCCAGGGCATTCCCCTCTGTGGAGGATTTAAATAACCCAAGGGCATCTTTTTTAATCTTTCTTTTAAGACTGTACCAGTTGTCTCAACAAAGTGTTAATAAAACTACAGACAGTATCTGCTAGGTTAGTTACAGATCAGGCTACAGTGTAAGTTTATCATATTAATGAAATAAATAGAGACTGCACTATCCTAGAAATTTTTTATTTTTACCTTTTTTAACTCTGGATAGACACAAGAAAGAAAGTCCCATAGTTTTTGTTGCCTGCCACGCTTTTAGATATCCACACATAAAAGATGAGTAGTGCTACTTTCATACACGTAATCATAATAGCAAGAGGAAAGGTGAAGAGCTGATCCCTCTTTCCAGATGTGGCAAGGATGGCAGGACTGGGCTGACAGAAGGCTTTAATAGGGCGTAGTTCAAGAGGGAGTAGCAGTGCTGTGCTAAACAGCTGGCTCTGAGGAGAGGGTTCTTCATCAAAGAATGCTGCTCTTTAAGCGAGAGGGTGACTGGAGCAGATTGAGATAGCGAGTGCTCTGATCAGATTTCCACATTAAGAAGTCACTCTGCTGGAGGAGCTGTGAAGGAACTGCAGGAGGTGGCCCTGATTAATGACTGAGGGCATTAAAATACTTTCAGATGGAGAGGGAACACCAGGTGACTCCTAATGCACCTGCAGGGCTACAGTATTGCTGTGTCTTAAATTTTTGGCCTTGGTGTTGTGCCCACTTCTGTAGCATCTTATGGTAGGTATAAGGATCAATTCCAGGGCAGTATGTTTATTTTCAGACTCAGTACAAGTTATCTGAAAAGTTCTGTGTAAGTATATAATGAAGAAGAGTGGCAGAGTGCACAGAAAAATTCATTTCCATTGTTTTCCCATTTGTTTTCCATACCTAAGGGTATCTTGGTCTTTGTTGGTAAGCGCAAAGTAAGAGGGAACACCAGGTGACTCCTAATGCACCTGCAGGGCTACAGTATTGCTGTGTCTTAAATTTTTGGCCTTGGTGTTGTGCCCACTTCTGTAGCATCTTATGGTAGGTATAAGGATCAATTCCAGGGCAGTATGTTTATTTTCAGACTCAGTACAAGTTATCTGAAAAGTTCTGTGTAAGTATATAATGAAGAAGAGTGGCAGAGTGCACAGAAAAATTCATTTCCATACAGACTTCCCATTTGTTTTCCATACCTAAGGGTATCTTGGTCTTTGTTGGTAAGCGCAAAGTAGGAAGGACAGATTCATAAACTGAATTTGGAACTGTGGATGTTGCTACTTGTCCTTACAATACACTTATTCAGTAAATTTATCAACTGGACTGATGCTACATTTTTAAACAAACGCTAGCAATTTGCTGCATTAAGACGAGTGTAGCTGGGTCACCATGCCCTGCTGACTCTGTTTCTGTAAACTGTGGGCTGTGGTACAGACCCAGTTATTAGAGCACCTGATGGTCAAGTGTTGAAAAGCACTAAGCAGCAGCTGCATTTTCAGCACTGGGCTGAATGACAGGAGAGAGAGACATTTAGGAAAAGAATGATGATGTGTCTCAGAAGTGGTATGAGAGCCAAGAGGTTTTTATCTGCATGGAAGCATGCAGCCTCCCTGGAAGTGGGCGGCTTAAATTTCTTTTGCCAAGAAGCAAGAAAACATCACAGTAAAGAATTTTAGAGGTGCTGATATACAGTGCGTCTTTCCAGATTAATTTTAAAAATCTGTTGTCAGATGACCTGTCTGCCTGTTGATTAAATCTCTCTCTTGTATCTGCTAGAGTGGGAGTCTGGGCACACACAGAGGAAATGACTGCCTGGGCTGTCTGCTTCCTAATCCCTTGTTCAATTTCTGAGTAACAAAAACAAAAGCAATACCGAGATTTTAGAATCCCCTTTGTTTCATTCAGCATTGGCTGTTTAGTATGTAACATTTGAGCAGGTGGAGGAAAGGGAGATGAAACAACCGATACCCATGGCTTATTTCAAGAGCACGCTGAGATGCAGTCACCAAAATTAAAACAAATTGCAGAAGAATCTTGAAGTCAGTTTTATCTGGTAGGTTCAGTTTTTTTGTTTGAAGGTTGACTATGATCAGCTAAAAATCACAGTTCCAAATAATATTCCCACTAAAAATAACTATATATAAATAATTTTAAGCTTAGCAACCGCTAGGTTTGGGAGAGGATTCAGACCTAGAAAGTGGGCGTTCATCATCCCCTACCACCTGCTTCTGCAAAGCATATTCCAACACAGTACTCGTCTTCCACATACCTGGATATGTGCTCCTGGCAGAATGAGCAATTCACTCCTATGCAATTTAACTACTGGTTTCACTCATTTCAGTTAAACTATGCGATCAAAACCAAATTAATTTTCTTATGAGAACTTCCCCTTCTCAGTGTGAATGGTGGAGTGAGCGTCTGTACTGGCTTTTGGTGACAAAAGAGAAGTTTGGGGAGGGTGTATTACACTGGCAGCAAAAACCTTACCCAGCTGCAGTTTGCTGCTGTTCTTAACAAGGATTTGACCTGGGCACGCAGTTGCTGTGCAGCTCAGGATGGGGTTTGCTGCAAATCAGGATGGCAGCTTGCTGTCACAGCTTGCAAAATGAGTGTGCGTGGAGCCCATCTACAGCGTCCCTGGCTCTTCCAGCCAGTGCTGTTATGAGGCCTGTGCTTTGATAAGTGAAAAATTCATCCTTGCTTTTGCTCTTTCAACAGTTCTACACATTCGATTATAATGCTAGCTTTTTCTTCTTAATCCTAATTAGGACTTCTTTTCTGAGTCTCTGTCTTCAGGGTAAATGGGAAAGGAGAAAAGGTGTTTTGGACAGTAACAGCTGAATTCTTCTTCTCTGATATCTTTTGAAAACTTTTTATTTCAAAAGGCTGGACTCAAAATTTGGCAGAGAAAGGAGGATTTAAACACCTAAATTCTGCCAGAGCTAAAACTGCAATCCCCTAAGTGTCTTGCTCCGCTGATGCTTGAAACTGGAGGCACCTTCGTTTGCTGAGTGCCTTGTGGATGAACTTGGAAGCTTTTCAGTTGCCTCCAATTTGGCTCATGTGGCTGCCTGGCGTATTGTAATCTAATCAGCCTTGCTCTCGGCTAATCCCCCCTGGGATCGAGAAACCAAGTAATGAAACGTTTTGGCCAAGGGCCTGATCTGATAGATGCTTTCAGAGAGAACCGTTTGTACAGCAGTAGGGTTGGGCTCCTTGCAAAACACATCTGTGGGTTTGGAGAGCCATGGGAACACCAGGCCGCCAAGGGAAAAATAAGCTTCCATTCCCCACTCTATCAACAGCCGCTTGGT